TCCCCTAACAACTACTTCCCCCCCACACACACACACCTTGCTTGCTTGTCCTCACACACCCCCCCTCCCCTGCCCACAAACTGTCGCCTGTCCTCCAGCCTCACTTGCCTCGCAATGACCATCACCCCGCGCCCCACCTCCCTTTCCTCCAAGCGCACCATCTCTGCCGCCAAGCCCCCGTCTTCCCCCTCCAAGCGCACCATCTCTGCCGCCAAGCCCCCGTCTTCCCCCTCCGCCCGCAAGCCGCTCAAGTCCCCCTCCAACCACTACGGCTCCATCCTCCCTACCTGCCATGACCCGTCCTACCCGTACCGTCTTCCGTCTCACCATCGCCCGCCGCCCGTCGGCCCGCTGGCACGCGTCCCCAGCGACCCTTCCTTCGTCCCCGTCATGGCCCTGGATTTGGATACCCTCGCCTCAGAACTCAGCGACTCCGTCGGTGCAGAGTACACCACGGGCGACCTGCTCTCCAGCCTGGCAGATGTCTCGTCCAACCCGCAACATCCTCACCACACTGACCACAACATACTCCCGGACGACGCCATCTGGCAATCGCCCCAGCTAGAGGACCACCATACCCACCATCCGGCCTCATTGGAGGTCGTCCTCGCAGAGGAAGAAGCCCTCAATTTTTCCGACGAGACTCTCGTCTTGCGCATCCGCCCCCACAAGGAAGATGATGAATACATAGACCGCCATGATACCGACTCTGATGTTGAAAATCCACACCACGAGCACGCTTATTCTCAATTCCAACATCCCGAAAATCACGACCCCGACCTCGCTGGCGGCTTTGCAATTAATATCCCGGTCACCACAGAATCCGCCTCTTCGTCCCCAGATCTCTCTACGTCATGGGGCTGCTCGCCCTCTACGCACATGTCCGACCGCTACCCCGATGAGGAGTGCCCGTTGTTGGATGAACCAGGTCTCAACATGTCGTATCGCAGCAGGGCTTCCCTCCCCACTGAGGGCGCCGCTCTTGTGCAGCGCACAGGTGCCCGCGACGTTGCAGAGGAACAACAAGTACTCTACGCTGTCCCCAATGCCGAGAGCTTGGGCTCACGACCGACTGGCCTCCTGTTGCCCGTCATTAACTCTCGAAATGATCTCACCCAGCTAATGTTTGTCGTCCCACCGGAAACACCCGCAGAAGAAGAGGAACAAGCACTACATGTCGAAGACGAAAACGCTCCCGTCACCACTGTCGAAGCAATTCGGGAGAACGTCGACATCCTAGCCGCCAAGCTGCCGGGAATGGTCGACATCGAGTCCACCCTGGAAGTGCACGGCACGGTAGACGACGCCACCGTTGCGATGAACGTCACCAAGCAAGTCTCCTGGGTCGGCTATCTCATTCTGGGCATCGCCCTCGCCTCGGTCGCGAGCCAGGGCACGGCCGTGAAATGGCTTCCCGACGTGGGCGGCATGATC